GAGTGTGAGAAATATAAGGCTGGCGAGAAGAGCACTATTGATGGGCGCGTATTCATTTCCCATCGCCATGAACAACAGGAATATGTACTTGGGCCTATTTTTAAAGAGGTCCCCATTGAGCTCCCGGCGCTGTACTCGCATTTGGAGGATCATTGCCTCCTTTATGAAGGCGGTCTTGATTGGAAGAGCTGGAGAATGAACTGACCCCATTGCTGCTGGCCCACAGTAAGACCAGAGTGGGAGGAATGGTATAATTGGGTCGTCTTTGCTAGGACATTGGATCTTTAGGAGCTTTGTCTCTTTGACACCCTTCAATTGTCCAGGTTCACCATTTCAGAGGACCTATTTTTAATACTTGTTGCTCTTTGTTTTTGGAATTCTGCTTTTAATTTCTTCCAATTTAGATGTGGGATGATGGTTCCTACTGTCCTTGACATCTGCCATCTGTTAAGATTATCCCCTATTGGTACCCCCATCGGTCCAGACTATCCTGACCTTAAAACCCCTTTTTCTCTTGCTCCTCTGAACTCATCCTATAGTGACTTTATCAAGGTTGAGAACAAAAGAGAAGGCCCTATGACTGATAGGGAATTTTTCTTCTTTTTATTGTATTGGCTTTACAAATTTCTCTTATGTACTTCTTCTCAGAGGATCATGCCTGAGTTTGCCCCTCTTGCCAAAGCCTTCGTTTTACAAAGAAATGTGGCCTTATCTCCATATGTTTTTTGTCATGTTTATAGAGCTTGTTCTCTCTTTTGTGAAAAACTCATGGATGCCAATCAAGGAGGCCAATTTTGGATACTCCAACTTTGGCTTTTTGCATATTTCACTGATTTACAGTTTAAATGCTTAAAGTTCTTGGTGCCAAACCCTACCACTTATGGTATGAAATTAGCCAATGTTTCACTTTATCCTTCCAACTTTGCCTTTTACTTTTCTTTCTTTCACCAGCTCCCAATTTCCCATTCTTCTTACACCTTCTGCCCATTTGAAGCTACCAATATTGGCCCAGCCTGGCTGAGGACCTTTTTGAGTGATAGGTCCTGCTCTACGCCTCAACACAAAACATGTGGGCTTCTATTTTGATCCCTAGGGAACTATTCATTGGTACTATGAACCCCATAGCTTATAAGTGCATCTCTGAGCCCTATTGTCCTGCCCAATTTGGACTCTCGCAGGGGGTCCCTATCCCTCTCTGCAGCCTATCCCTCTCTGCAGCCTATCCAATCTAAACCTTGCCAGCAGAGTTTTGAAGGTTTCAAGATCCAGATTAGAAAAAACAACTTCCAAATTCATCAAAGATCTAATTGATTTTGAGTATCTATCCTTCATTCCTCAAAGCAATACACTAAAAAGGTACCAGAACTGGTGGATGGCCAATATAGAGGTGCACTTGGTCATTTCCCCTCAAGATCTATTAATGGTACTAGACGTGTCTCAAGCCAAGTCTAAAGGGACTGGAGTTGTTACCTCTTCCACTGCTCATGCTACCCCAGTTCTTACCCCTGCTACTACGGAGTCTACTCCTGCTGCCTCACCTCTTCCTAGAGTTACTCGAGCTGCTTCGAAGAAAAGTATGCACTGCTGTTTCTTTTCTCCTTCTTTATGATACTTTTGCCTTTTACTTAAGTTCTTTCTTTGATGCAGGTGGCATAGGTGCCTCACAAGGAGACTCTCCTCAAAGAGCTCAAGCTTTAAATCTTCTCATGAGCAAGCAGAAACAACAAAGGAAGAGAAAGCTCGTGCTTGATCCTGGAGAAAAGGTACCAAAGGCTCACATGGAAGAAAAGGAAGCAGAAAAAGAGCAAGAGACACCATTAAAAAGAAAAAAGAAAATGACAGTCTATTTCTCTGATTTCACTGGGGACCCCATTCATGAAGCATCTGTTAAAGCAGTGGAAGCGGAACATTCTAAAGAAATCATTGTGTTCCAGATGGCTGAAAAGAGGAGACAACAACAAATGCTTAGAGATGAAGCTGCCGCTGCTAATGCACTCCAAAGGGAAGTTGCAAGGAAACAACCAACTACTGAACATTATACTCTTCATAGCTCTCCAATCATTGTTACCACTTCTGAAAATAGTAATTTCCTTTTATGTCTCTAATTTCCTTTCTCAAGTTTTTGATACTGGAACTTAACATTGTTTCGTATTTCTTCTTTTACAGCAACAACTACTCCACCTTCTCCTTCAATAAAGACTTATTCAGTTTCATCTGAAGTTGAAAGACTATCAGAAGCAGTGCCTTGAAGTGTAGAGCCCATTCAGGCAATACTTCCACTCCCTAGTTCTACACTTTTCATACCCTTTTTGAGGCAAAGCATTCCTGTATCTTGTCCTTTGGCTTAACTCCATAATCTCCTCTTCTATCTTTTAACTCAGTCCAATTTATTCTCCCTTCAATCTTTACTGCTCCTTCCCCTCCTGAGGAACTTCCAGTTATCACTTCATCTCCAGTGATAGTTGATTTTCTCAGAGAAAACACCGGTAGCTCACCAGTTCCTTGTCCACTATCCCTATCCAGCTCCAGTCCCTCCTCTCTTGACCAACTGGTAGCCAGGACTATGGAAACTGCTAGGGATACTTCATCTTCCTCTCCTGTTCCTGTGCAGCCATCTCTTCTTTCTGCCAAAGCCCTTTCTGCACCAACCATGTCAACGGAAGAGGTGGACATTTTCGAAGCTAGATTAGCTAGTCTTTTTGACATGCCTTCTACCATTTCAACAGCTAGCAATGAAACTGAGCCATTGGTTCTGGTTGATTCTGTTTTGAAAATTTTGGAGAGCTCTTCCACCACCAATAGGACTTCCTCACCTTCACTGGATTTGGACAGCTATTTGGAGTTGCTGACATTGTTCTCTAGGATCCTCTTCGAAGCCTTACAAAGACCTATTATCAAGAATGGTTTCCTTCAGTGCTGCAAGGTTATTGAGCAATCCAGTATGGCTATTTCAAGTCATTTATCTCAGGTAGAGGCTACCATTGACTTTTATATCAACATCTGCTATGTTGCCAAAGATGCAGAGGAGAAATTGTTAAGAGACCAGAAATTTGTTTCCCAGATACATGCTGAAGTGTCTGAATTGAAAGAACAACATTTCTCTGTCTCCCAATTTCGAGCTCAACTCTTGGAGAAGAAAGCTCAACTAGAAGAAGAGTTGTCAGCAGTCAACCTGGCTTTGCATCGAACTGCCACCAAGTTGCAAATCACCAACCAGGGACTGGCTAATCGGAAGCAAGAGATGACTATGGCCATTCAGTTGTTCCCATCTCTTAAGAGTAGAGAGTCTATTGTAAAGGAATAATTGAAACATTGTACTGACTTTTGGGCCAATCTTTGGTTGCATGTATTCGACTCCTTATGAAACAAAATCTTTATTTATTATTTGAGTGTTTTCATGCTTCTTTTGTTTAGCACTTACTATACTCCTTGTGTTTCCCACACAGTTGGATAATAAGGTTTCAAATACATGCTATTAATTTTCTTAGAGTGTACATATCCATTCAAATTTCTCAAATGATATGCTCCCCAAGGCAAGACTCTATGAACTTGATATGGTCCTTCCAAATTAGGAGACCATTTGCCAAAACTTATGGCTTTTAATCCCTATTGGGAGTATTGTCTTCCATACAAAATCTCCTTCATCAAAGCTAATGTGCTTGACTTTCTTATTATAATTTTTGGCTGCTTTCTTCTTTTGGAAAAGAATGCTATTTAATGCCAAAATTCTAGCTTCATCCACATTCTCTAATTCCAAGCACATACTCTGATGGTACTGCTTAGGAACTAATTGATTTTTGCATCTCACCCTCAAAGACTTGATGTTAATTTCTACAGGTAACACTGCATCATGCCCATATACTAAGGCATAAGGAGTAACTCCTGTACTTGATCTTGGAGAAGTCTTATAAGCCCATAATCACTACAAAAAAACCAAGATTTAGTAGTGGCCAAAACTGTCGCTAAAAGCAGGAAAAAGCGTCGCTAAAAATTAAAACACCTTTACTCGCTGTTGCAATAATGGCGGCCAAACCGCCGCAATAGCCCTGTCGGCATATCCTTATAGTGACGTTTTTCGCAAACGCTAGTATAATTATTTTTATTGCGACGGTTGATGTAGTGGCAGTTACAAATGTCGCTATATCTTGAATTTACCAATTACTTGCTAACTTTATAGCGATGGATCGACTGCTACTATATCCTTCACTTTTGCGACATTTTGTAAACCGCTGCTATATTTTGACTCTATTCCATCAGTTTTACACTGTCGCTATAACCATAGAATTCGTTTCGAATTTTATTTACAGCGACGGTTATTAACCACTGTTGTAGGCTATTTTTTTTTTTTTTTTTTGGGGGGGGGGGGATGAATAAAGTCATAAATAAAACGAAAAAAAACTACAAGATACAAGGGGTATACCCTAGGAGCTAACCAACTATACAAAGACATATAAACCAAAAAACAAAAAAAGACAATCTAGACAGCAAAAACCATCATGTTCACACACCACATAAGCAAAGAGCAAATGAGGGCAAGAACAAGGCAAACAATACAAAAAAAACCTAAGAGCAACATAACCTGGTTACATTGAAAAGATCCAAACAACAAAAGGAACTAGAAACAAAACCCAAAAGGCCATATTACAGGAACAATTTGATTACAAAATGATCAAAACAGACACCATAGCCCTGCTCACATTATATATCTATAACAACACCATTTTACTCTAATGGCTCAATACTCAATAATTGTAAAAGGTAAAAGAGTCTGCATTTTCATAATCCCAAAATATCCCAAACACCTTAATTAAAAGGTTCATTACATAAGCCTGTAATATAAAAAAGATCCAATGTTTCTAGCAAACTAATAGCCCACACTATAATCCAAAAGAAAAACTTGTTACAATAGTACTCAAAAGTGTTACTCATGACACCATTTTATAAAGATCTCCATGAAAAATGTTCAAATCGAGAAATGACGTCCATTGTTTGATACTTCATATTATCTTATTTCCTGCAATAAAAATAATTGAATGAGCATAAGTATCATTTTCAATTTTAAAATCTATAAAGAAAATTTAGACTACAAATAATTCTCGACAAGTCTTTTTTTTTTGTGTGTGTAAGTATATGGTTTACATATCAAAAAATAAAGATTACAATGAAGTTGAAGATCATAAAGCCAAACATTAGTAGCAGCCACCAAATCAAGCAACCACTAGCAACATCCAAGGGTCTATTTTTAATTGTATATTACAGTTTGATATGTTGCTGATATTCAAATTTGTTCGATTTTTGCCCAATTCTCTATTTCATTGGTTTGTTTGGTATTTTTACTGATGCCAATAAAGGAAGCAAAGTAGAGAAGTCAACCTATCAAATCCCAATTTTGTCCAAACTAACTAACTAACTATTTATTGGTGAAGAAGTCATTAACAGTGGTTCTAAATTTGTGTCAATGTATGTGTATTGTAATGATGACTTACCTCGATTAGAAGGTTGCATTTCATGACTCCCAAAAGAGGATCTTTGATGTGTTTGTAGAGAAGCTTGGTCCGGAATGCCACTAGATCCATCTGTCGCCTAATTTATACAATAAAATTTACATAAGTATGCATAAATTTAGAAAATGATAACATATGATAAATACATCATATAAAAGAATATGTTATATGTAGTTATACCTGCAAACCACTAGAACTATGTCTCTGACTCATCAAAAATGCTACTTGCTCTTTTAAAGAGTTTATTACAGCATCTTGAGCTTGCAACTGAATACCTTGAGTTTACAACTGATCACCTTGAGTTTTTAGTTATTCCTTTAACTCAATTATAGTGTCGTTGTCTCTCATGCTCTCTTCATCAGAAACCATTCTTAAATGGTCAAAATTATTACACATGAAGCCATGCTTGGAAGGAGTAGGCCCAAATCCTAAACCTCGAACATGACCATGATGCTCTTTACCCATCACTTGAGAATAAATATCATTTGGTGACCAAGATATACGCCCACCAACATTTCCTTCGGAGCTACTTGGTTGTGAGCTCATCAAAGCTTCTAGTTTTTCCTATAGCATAAATGGAGGGAAAAAAATAAGAAGACAAAGAGCGAGAGTGACTGTTTGCCACAAACACATTAGAATTTTGAAAATGTAACTTATTAAATGGGCATACAATTTTTGTAGCTGCTGCTTCATTGACTGGTGTCCCATCCTTCCTTTTGTGAAGCGGTATACATAATTTTGCTCGATCTAGTGCAATCTTATCTTTTTGCTCCTATGTAACAATCATATCGTTTGAGAATAAATTCATAATATAATGCGCTAACCAAATTCAAAATATAAAAGAAGGAATGAAGTTTGAAATACCATATCATATGCATGTTGTGCATAAGTTTTAGATCCTCCTGTATGTGTACTTGTTTGCTCTCGCCTGTTTTCCTTATTGGTTGTACTAAGTTCCTTCACTCATAAATGCATAACAATATGTTAAAAAAAAATGATATAATGATATTGTATTATTTGATAGAAAACATACATCTATACATACATGTCCTTCCTTTGAAAACCAATACGCGACAAGGTCAGCATAGTGCTCACGGTTAACTGTTAAAGGCGCAGTAGCTGCTATTTGTGCTGCTGTCTTTGTCTCATCATAGTACTTTGCTTTTAAACTACATTTCCAATTTCTTCATTTCTCTCCCATTGACTTCAATGTTCGATGCCTAATCATATCCCTTCTCTCATCTTGAGGAATGGCAAACTTGGACTACAATTGTATGTTTTTTCATGTTATGAACATTCTTAAAATTATCAATACAATAATATAAACTAAATTTGTGCATTTCTTTGCCCAATTCTCATATTTTTACATGGAGATAATGAACTACACTAATTTCATACTTCTTACTTCTAGACGACACCTACATCCTAATATAGGAAAGGAACTTTCAGACAATCCTAACGACAAACATATGTCCTAAAAAGATTTATTCAATGAAGAAAAGCCTCAGCATTTATATAATCAAAGATTTGAAAATTGTGATCATTCTACCTACATGCAGAAGCAGAGGAGTTAGGAATTCAAAAATTGAAGGACTGCCTATTGGGAACGTTTTGAACTGCTTTATAGATTAAATTCTGGATTTTAATTTTTTCTTTTCTAGGATAAGTTTTGATTTTTTTGGGGGGGTAACATGTTATGTAGAGCGAAACAAAAAAAATGAAAAACAATGTGGCTTAGATTCATAAGCAAACAAAAGAATAGAGTGACGATTGAAGCTAAATGAGAGGAAATCATTATGAAGACAGGAAATAGAATGGATACATTTCAAAGAAGCTTCTCAGTGCCTTGGATGTTAAAGTTGTTTGTCCTGGTTATATTGAAAAAAGGCCATCCTTTTGTTTTCATTTGTAAATCCTGTACTCATTTTCTGTCAATCTGCTCAGAAAATCAGTGTATTATTAGTATTGTCTTATTGTATATTGATATAAATAGTATATTTGATTTTGGGTTAATGATAATGATATGATCAACAATGTGTTATTTGTTGTGTAAGAAAATTGAATCTTTGATTGTGCTTTTTGAAGGTCATTTGCAAATAAGCAACATATACATGCACATGCTGGTATTAGGAATAGAAACCAAATTAATGATTCAATTATAATTTAAATTTATTATAAAATCTAAGATTGTAGTTGAAGTTAATACAATTTTCTTTACTACTGTAATAAAATTATCACAAAATACTTGTAGTTAGAAAATTACCTCGATAATATTCCAACAATCTTCTTTATACGGATCTGGCACTTCATGCCAATTCTTGTACTTAATTGGGCATAAGTGTGGCTTCCTAGCAATGGTGCCTATGAAGCGATTGAATATACCACTCTCTGTAGAAACAGCCTGCAAATCCTTGTTGAAGGTGAGCATAATGCGTTCTTCTGGAGTCAAATTCCATACTTCAACCATACGTGTAATTCCCCGCGTGTTTCGCTTAGTCAATTCATCTATTACAATACAATAATGAAATATATCATGGAAGTTAAGGGTGACTTGTAATTTGTACCTCAACTAAAAATCTAATAATACCTGTACGTTGTATTTCTTCTTCCCTTAACCAGTCCTCATCTAAATCATCTTCAAACTGAGGGTTAACATCTGATTCTTGAGGTTGAGGATGTGGAACATGTGATGGAGCATGTGAGGAGGGATGTGACCAACTAGGTTGTGAAGAGCCATTTGATCGACTAGGCTGTGAAGTTCTATTTGGCCGATTAAGCTGTAAAGAGGCATTTGAACGACTAGGTTGTGAAGTTCTATTTGGCCAGTCCAGCTGTGGAGAGCCAATTGAGTGACTAGGTTGTGAAGTTCCACTTGGTGCGTTAAGCTGTGAAGGGTTATTTGGTTGGCTAGGCTGTGAAGAGTTATTTGACTGGCTAGGTTGTGAAGAGCCATTTGATCGCTTATTCTAGGACTCATTCTCAAGATTGCAAGTTCTAAATCATTTCTTTGCCATATCTGCTAGATAACAATAGATGTAATTAATCAAACACAAAGATATTAATCAAATTAAATGAGCATTTATCATAGTATACTTTAGATATTAAAGAACATAAGCCATAGGAAAAGCTCATATACACCTCATAAGATTATTTTATTTTTCTACTTCTAAGGAGATTTTCTGTACACAATGCATGGGAAGAGGAACAGATCTGTTACAATGGTGGATTGGGTATAAATTTAGAATCTTGGAATGGAAAATATGGGATGTGTTTCCTTTTGCTGCACTGTGGTATTTGTGGAGGGGAAAAATGATTGTAAGTTCATTGGTTCTCAACTAAGGGTGCAGTCTCTAGTAAATGGTGTTTGATTGTCTTGGTATGGTTGTAGGGGTGAAGAAGGTGCCAATCCTGAGTCTGCTCTTGATTTTTTGGCAAAACACTGTCAGTGGGCTGTGGTGACATTAGGCCCTAATGGATGCATTGCAAAACATGGAAAAGAGGTCAGTTATATGTTATATTTGTCTCATCTTCCATAGTTTTGGTTATTAGAAATATATATATATATAATCTGTGGAACTTTGAAAGGTAACTATTCCATGGAATCTTATAATTATCTCTCTTCCAAAGGCACATGTGTACCCCTTATGGAATGGATATTATAATTGGTATCATCCTAAACATTGTGAATCTGAATTTGTTATCTAATGATCATGGCAAGTACACAAGATTAACACAAGACATTTATTCTGTTTTAAGTACACAATATGCTCTCTTTTAGTATATAGTAAGTCTACAGACACAGATCTAACTACAGAGCATTAGCATTAAAAAAGTGCACTTTTTTTATTTTTTTACTTTTTGGTAAGTAATGGATAGAATTTCGTTACATCTTTCAGATTGTTCGGGTTCCGACAATTGGGGATGCAAAGGCAATAAATGCCACTGGAGCAGAGGACCTGTTTGCAAGTGGGTTTTTGTACGGATTGGTAAAGGGGCTAAACTTAGAGGAATGCTGTAAAGTGGGCTTATGCAATGGTGGCTCTGTTATTCGGGCTCTTGGGGGTGAGGCCACACCAGAGAACTGGCAATGGATGCATAAACAAATGCAGACCAAGGGCCTCACTGTCTCCAGTAGTGATGAGTGATATCTCCTGTCAAAGAGGATTTTTTTAGGGTTTGGGTAATCATTATTGCTATTGTTTCATGAGTCAATGTTATTTGGCATTAATGATAGGCCAAATCAATTAACTAACCATGAACTAATCAATATTTTCACAGACCATAAGATTTAAACACTGAAGCCAAGCAAAATTGTACACATTTTGTGCCTTTCTTCACCAATAATACTAACCATTTAGGTTCAAAGTATGAATCAAGGTGTGATCAGTAAGATAAATAAAGAGACATGCATGCGGATAAAGAACATAGCATGACAAGGTTCAACATAAGCAAATATAGCATGACAAGGTTAAACATAAGAATTTGCCTCTGTTTTGTTCATGTAAAATTGGTGAACATTGAGAAAATCCTCAAGGTACTTTAAGTGGCAAATGTGGGGCCCAACTTGGGACCAATACCTTATTTGTAAGTAATATTCCTTTTTGTGGGACCTTTTGGTCATTTAAAAAATATTTATAAAAATTGAGGGCTCTCTCATAGGCTCTTTTGATGTACATGGGTGGCATCCCCTTGATGCTAATTAATGTAGTTATTATTTACTAAATAAATAAATTTTTGATGTACATGGGTGGCATCCCCTTGATGCTAATTAATGTAGTCATTATTTACTAAATAAATAAATAAATGGTGTAGGAATTTACATAGGCTGCAATACATGTATACAAATATGTATGTGCATGTATATATATATATTTATGTCTCGGAAGTTGTAGAAGTTCACTCTCAATTAGATCGTAATTTTAACCACCAATGGTTATATTCAGAAGATGCCCAAACAAAATATGAGGTAAAGAGGGATCTGCAAATGTTAACTACACAGATCAAACCCATGCATATGATGAGAGAGAGAGAGAGAGAGAGAGACCTCAAACAAAGTTAAATCACTACCAGCAGTTATGTTCCAGACAATTCTAGTGGCCTTCTCTATGCCAATATCTAATAAAGGTGATTGAACGACATTTAATGCAGCATCTCTTGCTCTGGACTTTCCTACACAAGAACAAATACCACAAGATAACTTAGAGAAGTTTGGCCACTCATCCTATTTCATCAGACTAAAACAAAGCCAAAAGCAAAATGTAGAAAAAAAATAAAACATAAATAT